ATTAAGGCTGAAGTCCCGCTATACAGCACCGTGTTCTATGTTAGTGGCTTTTAGGACACACAACTAATCTTACCAGAAACATACCAATTTTTGAAGCGTTAAAAAACGTACTTGCGCACTGCCAGAGAGGCGTTCTGATATTTGTAGTTGTGCCCATCTTCCCAATCCATTTATTGCTCCAGATTGACGTTTTTGCGGCGGTGCCATGAACGCAAACACACATGCGCTCATGCACGACCTTCTTCAAGCCACGTCTTCCTCTTTGCCTCTCAATCACACGCACGCCTCCGCTCTGCGGCCCTGGGTGCCGCGCGCACCCTGTGCAGGCCGGCCGCGGTAATCCCGGGCCTCCGCCAAAGTAGCCGTGTGAGAGGACAGATTGCCAGTTGATCATGGCCGGCGGAGAGCCTTATCCCTTATTGGATCGGCCGTGGAGGAGGCTTAGGAATTATCTGAGGCCTCGCTTAATGTGGAGACGGATCACCGCCAGAGAGCCACGGAGCCTGAAGACACGCTGGGCCGGAGGGGAGAGAGGGACGTTGCAAGAGAGAGTGTGTGTGTGTGTGTGTGTGTGTGCGTGTGTAAACGAAAGCAACAAACAGGTGTGTGTGTGTCAGTATGTAATAGTGTGTGTGTGGGCACCATTGTGGCCCACTTAACCCCATCTTGACTCTTCTCCGTCTCCTTCCATAGTCTATTTTTTGCCGTCCTTTTCTCGTCCTCCTCCCCTCCCTGCTATTCTCATTCCTCCGCTTTCCCATTCCCGCGCTTCCTCTTGTTGCTGCTTCATTATCGCTCCTCCTCCTCTGCACCTTCATCCCTCTGACCCCCTTCGCTTTCTTCTCCCGCCCATCATTCCTCGGCCTCGTCTCGTGAGCTCCGTCTTCAGTTTTCTTTCCTGTCCACACTGCTTCGACTCCTCCGTCCATCCCCGCCTCCCCTCCCTGTTCCTCTTCTTTTCTTCTCACGGCTCATCTGCGCCCCTTTAAAATTGCTCCCATTCTCCTCATTTTCGCTGTTTGCATCTTACCTCTGATTGGCGCCGTCTTCGCCTCCCTGCTTTTTACTCGTCCGATCCTCCACGCGGCGGCGTCCTGTCCTCAGCAGGAGACCTGATAGAGGCCGATGGAAGACAGAAAAACTGACATTTCACTTGCCAAAGATAAAAGAAACTAGTGCTTTGTTAAGAAAAACGGTTGACCAACACCTCGTATCTCAGAGCCCTTCAGCACTACTTATTAATTACAGCATCTGGCATACTTGATTATTCAATTGTAAAGCAAACCCGTTATCCGTTTATCTGTCGGACTACACCAATAGGGTTTTACGGTTTTAGACGTTGAAACAGCCTGAAACGCGTCGTCAGTGTTGTTTTCAGTGTTCTGGCTGACTGAGTAGCCGCCCTGTCTCAAGCGTAATTAGCTGGGTTATTTCTGACTTCCTAAATAGTACCTTGATCCCCCTTTCAGATATTAGAAATAGCCCTCTAGCTAATTCCCTCCCCGCTGGCTGACCCCGGGGCGTTCAGCGGCCACGGATCCCTCAGGAGGAGCACGTGGGCACGGAGAATGACACTCCGACGGCCGGTGTCACCTCCCCTAACCTGCAGCCGCGGCCCCCCCCCCACGAAACCCGGATAAGCAGAAGAAAGCGGAGGCGTGGATGGATAATTCCTTCCCTGTGCATGAGATTACCGACAGCTACTGAGACCAGATTAGTGGTGCCACAACTCGCAGAGTTCCAAGGGTCATCCCCGGGTTACAAGGGTGTGGAGGGTTTAGGGCCGTGGCATCGGGCAGTAAACCGGACGGTATTTTTGACATTGCGTTTATAAAACACTCAATCAGGAATCAGGCGCCAGTTAAGCGCGTGATCAAGAAAAGAACAACAGGCGACTACTTGAAATACTAGTTTGTTTTCAGCCCTGCATCACACATCACGCCATATCCAAGGGGAATAGGAGCTTTACAGCAAAAAAATAAAATATCAGTAAACAAAACAGAACTTTGCCGAAGGGTTACTTTTTAATATTCCACACGGACAGATAACTGCTCTCACACTTAAGCATTGAAACTTATGGTGCATGATAATTTAAGGTAAATGTCCTGGACTTGAAATTGGTGCGTCTTATTAAAGTTATAAATGGATCAAATTGGACTCGATAATAATAATTATAGTTGAAACAATTTAACCTTCCGGTTGCAGTATTATACAGTATTTCTAGGCCAGCTGTGCAAACTTGAAGCTGGAGTGATTGGTCAGGATGCAGTTGTATGTTTATATGCTATATATATATATATATATGTTTGAGTAGTGCGCAGCGGTGTGGCACAGCTTTATAAGTAAGCCACTACAAAAAAGAGCATTGCAAACGGATAAATGGCAAATCTCCCCGCGCATGAAATGAACACATGTGCGATACGTGGTGCACAGGTACTTTTTAAAGGGGAAAGAATCTCAGGGGTTTTCCTAAACCACCCAGCTGCAATGTTTGTAAAACACAGCAGCAATAAGCTCCACATATGGTTTCCGGGGTAACACTATTGATAAGGTTTAGTGCCCGGAACAGATAACTATATTAAGCTGATACACACACACACACACACACCTACCCTGCTTCCTCTTCTCATCTAGTAATTGAAGGTGAGAAATAATTTCATGATCCTTAGGAAGAGTAATCGGCTCTCTACTCCTGATCCCTTCATTTCCTACAGTGCACCACAACCTGGGAGGCAAACACACACACACACACACACACACACACACGCAGGCACACTCATAGTTGCTATCACCCTGGGCTATTAATGCTATTGGAGTTGGGGATTAACAATCAGATTCACATATGCTTTACAAAGCTTTATTACTTAGAGCTGTCTGTCTTGCTCTGGCTCACACACACTTCAGTGTGTTCACACACTCGCGCACATGTTCATGCATGCGCACATACACACAGGCAAATAACTTTGTTTGGAAGAAAGTTAGTCTGAAAGGCCCCTTCAGCAGGTGTGAAAACATGGCGAGAAATCTCCAGTTTACAACCGTACGCAATTGGTACCGGATGGAACGCTGAGTTATTTTCCCCTGATGTCATATTCACACAGTGGCCTTGAGGTCTTTTGGTTTAATAGATGTAGAATCCTTTGGGGGACCATCTATCCTCCATTCCTCTGCTGGCGTCGTTGAGTGGCAGATCACAACCAGTTTAATGCTGCATTACCACCCTCTACTGTTCACCCGCCCGAGATGTTTCGGGTGGCCCCCCCGGATGTCGAGAGTCACGGTGACACGCGTCTGTGGACGTAGAAGGGAGGGGCCGGAGCGGCGTTCCCGCGGGGGGGGGGGGGGGGCAAAAAGGTGTGTCGTGGCTCACCGTTACATTTAATGTGAACATGCAATCACGAGGGGAGGGGTCAGAGCTAAGGGGGAAGGGGAGAATTATAATGCAGCTTAAGACACACAATGCCCCACACATGCATTTATTCCAGAGGATTAACAGCAGATGAAAATGCTCTGCTTCTGAGGCTCAGAGCACCGCTGATCACCGACTACATAATTACGGCGGTATCAGACCTTCAACATCAGGTTCTGTACCTGCAGTGCAGTGGCCCCTGTGACCTCACCAATGGACATGACCAGCGTGTTTACCAGATTTAAGGCTCCTTGTCGTCGGCAAATCCCAAACAACCGACCTTGAGAGGGTTCACAGCAGTACAGAACGAAAAAGTGAGACGTCGCAGTGCCGGAGGTTGAGCCACTCGACAGCGTAAAGTTTTCTGTCGCAAGGAATAACAGATGAAATTCAAAGTGTCACGTTATTTAAGCTTTACATGTCTTGACGCTATTCTGGCTGCCATTGTATTTCTGTGTGTGTGTATGTGCACCAGTGTGCTGTCAGGCCAAGACATAGAAAGTGTGTGATTTTTTTTTTTTCTAATGGGGAAAAGGAATATTTGGACATTTTATCAATAGGCATTATTAAATCCTGCTTGCTTGAGCTAATCTTGGCGGACCGGAGCGAGGGGAAAGAGAGCGAGCGGGGAGGGAAGGAGGGTGAGGGAGATAGACGCGCAGAGGGAGAGTGAGGGAGCAGTGATGTCTGCCCCATGAGGTGAAGAGAGACCGCCTGTAAGCCGCTTATTATATCGACTACCACCTTTTCTCTCTCCTCCTCCTGCCACCCCCCCCCTCCTCCCATCACTCCCCCCCTCCATCCCCCTCCACGCCCCGCACAGCTTTCTCTCGTTACCTCGCTCATTTGCTATCTCTGTCTCCCTCCCTGTCACTCGCTTTCTACGGCTCGTTCTATATCCCCTAGTTCTCTTTTTCTCAACAACGCTCTCACAGAAAAGTGTGTGTCTGTGTGTGTGTGTGTGCGCACAAACACACACAGACGGCGCCAAGCCGAACCTTCTTGTTCAAAGCCAGAAGCGAAAAAGCTGAAGTTTTATTCAAATGAATGTTTACTTCTTCTACTGCCAACGTGTGTGTGTGTGTGTGTGTGTGTGTGTGTGTGTGTGTGTGCACGAGTGTATATTGAGAGAGAAAGAGAAAATAGCACCAAGTATGCACGTGCGTGTGTGTCCGTGTGTGTTACATGCACGGCAGAAGGAGAAGGGCTGACAGTAGGTGATAAGCCAGACAGGCCTGCACGCTGTGATTATCACCCACCGGACCCCCTGTGACACACGCACACACACACGCACACGCGCGCTCGCATACACGGTGCCCAATGAGAGAGTGTGTTGCAAGGATTTAGGACAGGCAGAGGGACAGACAGACAAACGGAGTCGGCGGCGCCTTGGATCACAGGCAAGGTGGAAACCACGAGAGAAGCAAACGAACACAGACCGGAAAGCACAATGCATTCAATTATGTCCCACTGAAGACTGTTTTTATGTCAATATTAAGGCGTTTTGATGTTGAGACCGCGTCTCATCAGTAATACAAACAAAGGCTCAGTTGACTCTCTAACTCTCCCGCGGTCTCTCCCTCTGATTTAGGTGTGTGGCCGTCCGAGGAGGTGATGGCTCATTACTGTCTGCAGAAACACCACATGTTCAAGTGAGTCATTGCGGTTCCACCACCAAACCATGTTTGCCATGTTTTTTTTTCAGACTTTTGCAATTAACTCCGGCATGACGGGCAGTGTCGCCATTCCTCCTGAACAAACTCTTTAAAAGTATTGCACTAAAGTCGGATCCCCCCCCCGGGTTTGAATCCGACCAATAAAGCGCGGTGTCTCCGTGTGCCTTTCCACGCCGCGCCGCGTTGTCCCGGTCTGCTGAGCTCTGGCCCGCCCCGCGGCACGGGGCTGAAGAGCACCCAGGCGCCTTTTTGATTTTCCACTCAAGGTCTAACGTCACCCTTTGATTTCCTGTTTTAACATTCAAGAGGCGGGAGGCGAGGAAGAGAGGGGTATTGATCAGAGCGGCGCAGTGAAGGTCAGCGAGAGAGGCGGAGCGGGATGAAAGAGGACAGGGGTAGAGACGAGGGGAAGAGGAGATGAAAGGAGGAAAAGGACGGAGCAAGGGGTTGTTTGAGCATGCAAGCTTCAGGACTCTGTGTGTGTGTGTGTGTGTGTGTGTGTGTGTGTGTGTGTGTGTGTGTGTGTGTTCCTCAGTTTCCTGCTGATTGAGCTTGTGCTTCTCAATGTTCAGTATTCAGCTTTCAGGTTGATGGTTGAATTGATATTTCTTGCCCCGCTGTGTTTACTGTGTGTGTGTAGGTGCATGTTTTTGTATGATAGCATGTGTGTGTGTGTTAGTGCTAAACTGTTCTGCAAGGTGAATCTCACTCCCTCTCTCCCTCTCTGCCTCTCAGGGGTGCAGTGTGTGAGTTGGGAGGAGGTATGACGTGTCTCGCTGGGCTCATGGTAAGTCAGACACACACACACACACACACACACAGATATCTGCGGGAGAAGTGGCTCGGCTTCCATAATGAAATTGACCCTCACCAATCGATACACAAGCAGCATGGGCAAACAGCCTTTCTGTACCTTCACAGCCGTAAACACGGAACCTCCTAAATGAACAGTCGCTCACGTGTCAATTCGTGTGCCCGTGTTACGCACCCCGCTTGTTGAATAACGCCATTGTATATCCGTAGTGAGTTTCCCATTGATTAGTGCTTAAAACGGCTTCACTGCATCTATGAACCGTTAGTTCCACCTCAGCACAGTTGGTTGTGTTTAGTACAAACAACTGTCAATCTGCCCTCAGAGTCTAACAACCTTGTTTTCTCAATTATGTTTAATTGGCTTTCCCTTTTCTGAGTACGTTGGTCAAACATTCTGTGATTTGTTAAAACAGCAAAAGTATTCGTAGCATTTGCTGTTGTGTTTTGTGTTGAATTGAGCGACGCAGACTCTACAAAGCTCCTTCACGAACCACAAGGGGACCCACATAAGGCCTCTGGCTAGTTTAACTGCTCCCAGCAGCATTGTTAGTCGTCTTTGAACAGCCAACCTCAGATGTCATGAGGGTAGAATCCATGTGAGATTAAATCCTTTTCCAAGAATCACACAGAGCACATTGTGTGCATTAATGGAAAATTTGAATTTTTCAAACGTGATGCACCATAAACACGGCGAGAGACTTTAGTTTTATATTGGCTGTATTTTAGCTTTAAAAACACTAACAAGTGAAGTTAAGGTTTTTCTGATTAACAGAAATCGTTTTTTCTAGCCGGTATAATGACTGTGATGTGCTCGCTCGTTATTTTAAATAACTCTCGCACAATCATCAGACCACCTGAGTAGTTGCTCCTAGCTTGGGTCTTGAAAGCTGTACTGACACAACACACACACACACACAGATTGACACACTCCGATATACCTCGGCCCCTGAGCCATAGGGTTTATTAGCCAGGGTCTTAAGAGCCCCTCCACATCGCATGCGTCAGTGTCGCATCGATCTGTTGGATGCCATTCTGTGCTGTGTGTGTGTGTGTGTGTGTGTGTGTGTGTGAGAGAAAGCCTGGGTTTATCTCTTGCCAGTCAATACACCATGTTTTGACATTGGTGGCTTGAGATGGGATCCTTCCCTCACACCTCTCCTTCCCCTCATCCCTCCGCCAGCCGCCACTGACACCACGTTCAGCTTCCCTTCCCTGATGATGATGCGAGTCAGCAGTCCGTTAATTATTCGTGTGGCCGTTAAATATCCTCCCCTCCCTTTGCACTCTGCTCCTCGTCGTTCGACCACGCCTTCCCTCACAGCCGCGCTCAAGCGATAATCCCTCTGGAAGCCCACGGTTTTGGGTTTAAATGTTAACTCTGGTAATGTTACATGAGGGTCGTTGTTGTTGTATCGGTAACACCAACGTGGTTAAACTTACAACAAGAGTTTGTCTAGAATCTAGAGCGTGACGCCGCATGTGGCGTCGCAGGCTGGAGGCTCGGGTTCTGCCCCGAGGTCCCTTCCTGCACGCGAGCAGATGGTGGGAAGCACAGCGTTCAGTGACCCCCTTACACACACAGACACACAGACACACACACACACACACACACACACACACACACACACACACACACACACACACACACCCTGCAGGTGCCTTAACATGTGTGTGTGTGTGTGTCTGTGGGAATTCATGTGTGTCAAGCAGACGTGTGCGTGTTTGGAAATTTTCATAAACTCGATATGCTACATCATGTATTTTCCATATGCCACAAGAGTCAAGATTACATTGAATCAGTCATACAGGATTTGTGCATAGCCACACAATACCTACTTGCACCCATGGGCACATTCAAACACACACACACACACACACTCCTTAACAGAAATTGACAGCCTGACACACACTTTCGGATACAAGAAAGGCATCTGCAGAGAAAAGAGAATGTGAAATGATGAGGTTATAGTAAAGCACACACCTCTCTATCTATATCTCCCTCGCACGGCGGCGCACAAAGCTTCCCACCCCTTTTCCCCGTCTCGCTCCCTCTCTCTCCCTTCCCTCGTCTCTCACAGTCTGCGCCGCAAAGTTATATGAAGGGCATCAGGCAGGCCCGGCGAGCCGAGTGCAGAGTGACAGCGGCGAACGGAGTGATGGCTCGGCCCGATAAACACCCAGCGTCAAATGAAAAGGCTCTGCGCTTGCCATCATCCCCTGTCACAATGCAATTACTGAACAGAGTGATAGCAAGATAGCGGCCCCCACCGCTAGCCACCATGATAAAAGTATTGACTGATTTGATTGAATGATTAAAATAATGCAGACATAAAAATGGGGTGAAGATAGAGAGGGAAATGGCAGGGAGGAGAGAGAGAGCAGGAGAGAGAGTGGCGGGCCGGGCTGCCATGAGTGACCCTTTGTAGATATGGTTATGTCATTATTGTGTGTGTGTCTGTGTGTTCAGATGTTTGCTTCATCTAAGGGTGCTTTGGGTTTTGTTCTTTTTGTTCGGTGTTGTGTCATTTCTCCGCCTGCGTCTCTGTCTCTCAGGTTGCCATTTGTGCTGACGTGAGGGAAGTTCTGCTATCTGATGGGAACGAGAAGTCCATTCAGAGTATCCTTTCATGCTGTTCTCTCTTCCTCCGCCTCAATCGTCCAGCTCTCGCCGATTTAGGCGGATTCTTTATTTTTTTTTTACCGGGATTACAGTACAGAAAATGTGTTGTTTGTCTGTACAAATCACATAGTAATTTATACATAGAGGCTGTTTTAACACATGTTGAACGGTAAATTCATACCATATAGATTACAAAGTCAAACGTGTGTTTTGTGTGGGTCTAATGGACCAAGACCTCACATGTTTTACAAGATGTGCAACGTTGACAGACATGTGGTTCATTACATTAAAAAAACACTCACAAATATAACATGTTTAGATGTGCAGTGAAAGATTTCACATGTGAACACATTGATTTCTTTTTCTGAGTCCGTAAACTAAAACTCAAATGGCAAAAACTACATTCTCCTATAAATCCATAAACATTTGAACCTCGATGAAGTTGCTTTATTGACTCATTACAAGTTTTAGGTTTGAAGTTACGTGCACCTAATGATCAGGTGATCATAAGTTGTGATTGCAATGCTTAATCATGAGTCATAAATCATTGTGCCAGCTGTTACCGTCTTTTGGAAATGCATTTTCATTTCTTCGGGGGTTTAATCGACAAGTCCTTTCTTACCACATCTATTTTTTCCGTTTGTCCTGCTGTGCGTGTCTCTTACTGCTCGCGTCATAAACAACAAGTAGACCTCGGCGCTTCAGCCTGGAAGTCAGAGACCGGGTTGGAGTGAAGGAAGAAGAGCCGTCCACCTCTTTTATCGCCCACGGTGACAAACACCCAGCGCCTTAGCGCTCAACGTGGCGTCTACCAATCCCGGGGCGTCTGCCCACAGTGACTCGTTAAGAGCGCAGTAATTGCCGTCCTGTCAGATTTTGTTTGAGACTTCATCTATTGCTCGGGGCTCGATGAGCGTTTTAAAATCTGGAGCGATGAAGGTTTGATGAAGTGTTTTGTGTGCTTTTAGGTTTAGGCCTATAATTAGGTTTTTAGGTGAGACTTTTTTGCCACCGTTTGTCTTTTGAATGGCTTATTGATCAACTCGCTTAGTTGGTGAACCAACCATACTCTTTTTTTTTTTTTTTTAAACATTTTCTCCCATCCGCCCAGATCTTGCTTCATTCACTCGATACCTCAACGGACAAGAAAAGGGAAAAAAAGGAAAGAAAGTCGCTACAGATGTTTCTAAGAAGCAGGAAATATAAATACACATTTCTTCCCCATTGACCGACACGGCACTTCCCTATTTAGCTTTGCCTACAATATCTCTCTCTGTCATCTGGCTACAATGCTCCTGCACTGATCACAACAACACTCAGACAATAACATTACGGAGCCTGTCAAACACACACACACACACACACACACATTACACAAACAATACGCCATTGACCGACTGCTTTGTTTCACAGAACAAATACATCGAGAGAATTGTAAGTGAAATCACAGCCGGTATGGATCCAACACACGCGGAAAGCGAGACAGCGAGGCCTCAGGAAGACAACAGTAATTTGTTCTGTGCTCGGCCAAAATGTCCCGTCCTGCAGACACTTTGTGGCACGTCCTCCCGCCGAGGAGGCCGCCGGCCTCAGCCTTGTGCTAATGGCCGCTGTTTGTCTCACATAGCCTGATTGTGTTACAATAGAGAGAGATAGCGGGCCGTGATAGGGCTCAGCTTTATACAGTGAAATAGATGAGAAGATAATCGGGGGGAAGTTGTGAATAGACGACATTTTGATAAATGCAGTGAATAGATTTTCCACTTCCTCAGAAGTTGTTGACCTCATTTCCATTGCAAACACACAGACACACACACCACGGAGAGCAGACTCTCGGCTGACCTTGAATACGCTTGTTGGAAATCAATTGAAATGTTCCATTAAGAATGATTGATGCACGTCTACTTCAAGTGATAGGAGGAAATATTCCTCCACTTTAATGTTCAATAATACTCAAATCACTCTCTCTCTTTCACTCTTTATTTCTTGGTGTGTGTGTTTGTGTGTGTGTGTTTGTGCGTGCGCTGACCTCTCCCCCAGTGGTGTGCTGGTGATGAGATTACTGTAAGCTGCTCTGCTCCTCACCCTGTCATCCCTATGCATAACACACACATGCACAGGTGTCCAGCGTGTGTGTGTGTGTGTTTTCTTATGGTTGTGTATGTGCGCCTGTATATAAATGTGTGCTACCCTTCGTATGACAGTGTGCGTGGGAGGCCTCTTTGGTTTTGGATCCGCTCTTCAGCTATCAATCCATCAATCAACTTATCACGCATTCCTGCTCCCTCGCTCTCCGTCTTCGTCGATTGGATTTGTCTCAGCTCTTTGCAGGCTTTAAAGACAAGGAAATCCTAATTGAATTGCTTTGCAACTCCACAAGCCAGTGTATTACGAGACAGCTCGACATCAATCGCCCTGCCTTTGTGTGCGAGAGGGACAGTGTGAGTTTGTGTATCTGTGGTTAAAAGCTTTCCCATTGATCCGGCGAGAGGCTGCTGTGATCTGCTTCTGCAGGCTGGCTCTCTAACCCAGAAGATCATCTCCGCTCGTCCATGCTGTCTGCATGTGGCGGCCGACCGTGTGTGAAGGGGTCCGTCGGCCCGGCTCAAGCTGAATCTGATATTTGTTTCCAAATACGTTACAAGATAATAAAAAATCCAATTCTATGCAAATTGACATAACGTGTAATTGAGATTTTCATACAGTTTGAGGATGTAAAATGTGTGTGAATCCTTGACCGCGGCGCGTCAGATGTTCGACGGCTGGCCGAAAGAAACAGGCGGGCTGGAAAGTTCGGGTCGACGCAGGTATCTGCGAGGTGAGATTTCTTTTAAATGTTTGCGTTTTCGAAATGAGATGCCTTAACGCAATCATCAACCTAAGATGTCCAGTACAGTGTGTCTACAGGGGAGTTCCTGCTACTGACAAATAACTGAGGGATGTTTTGCACCAACAGATCCTTATACTTATATATATCATTTATTTATCATGTCTTTAATTTTGATCAACAGTCAAGCTTTCTCTGTAACATCCATTCTTCGTGCAGAATGTGTCTGACTTTGTGTGTCTGACTTTGTCTGTCTGTGTGTGTGTGTGTGTGTGTGTGTGTGTGTGTGTGTGTGTGTGTGTCTGTGCACACCCATGCGCATGTGAGCAAAATGGTTCCCGCTGATTGGGATTGAGAAACCAATGGGAGGACTTTTCACTTCCTGCATCCCGACACACTCACACCTCACACGCAAGGACGGCCTCCATGTATCTGACTGTTGTTATCGTCTCGAAAAAGGTATTTTATTATTGACGGACTGTTTGGCTCCCCGGCCTTGTCCCTCGTTCTCCCTCTCTCTCTCCCCCCATCTCCCCCCCTGCGCATATTTACATGAGTGGACAATGGAGTGAAAAAGTAAAGGTATAATTAGGCTACATTACTTTGATTGTTTTCTTTTCAGATTATGCCTGCTGTCACTGCCGCACCGCGAGAGGGGGCGAAGGCCGAAATGCGATTGGACAAGGGGGGGGGTTAGAGGGAGGGTATTCGCGTGATGTGTGTGTGTGTGTGTGTGTGCGCGCATAGGGACCTCCTGCCGTGAATTGAGATTGTGTTTCTAGCCTAATGTTTTGTTTACTGGGTGTTAATAATGCCTAATTAATAATCCCCCACTCTGCCTGACAGTCTGAGAGAGAGAGAGAAGGAAAATGGTGGAAAAAGAGAGGAGGACACTAACTGGAAAAATCTAATTATATCCCAAGAAAACCACTTTAGCCATGTAATCTACTACAAGAAGTTTAGCACTGAACACCAAACACCAAGTGGCCGTTTGTCAGTGACCAGTAACTGAGAAGGACACTAACGAAATACACACAACCGTCTGACCGTTAAGAAACAGAGCAGCGCGCCGTGCGCTAATGGCAGCAATTTGACTCACTGCCCAGCGGAGCAACTGCATAATATGTGGTGTGTTATTGGCTGAAAGACTTCATCAAAGACTCCATCGCCTTCGCAGGAGCTGCACGTCGGCGGCGCTCCTTCAAAGAGTTGTTTAAGTCGATTCACGAATGCACATTCCTTCGCACATTTAGATATACATATGTACATATGTGGAGTCATTCTATTTTGTTATAGTGCATGTACGGTTGTGCTTCTTTTGTAATCCTAATTGTTATATTTCCATTTTAAATGTGAGACCAGAAAAGGGAGGAGAGGACGGAGAGCAACATTTATTCATGTAAACGTGTTCCTCTCTGTGTGTTTTCACATTGGTACTTTCTCCAAGTCTCCAGTGAGGCAGAAGAACAGCGGGTGTGAGGCGACTCAAAGTGTTGAAAAGGGGGAACGGAAGCGGCCAAACACAATCTGCTGTTTGCTCGCTGTGCAGCATCAGCAACCCTCGGCCTGCGACACTAAACCCTGGTTTGTGCTTTCTGCGTGTGCTCACAGGGTGCTGAGGTGGGACTCTGATTCAGACATTTCGGCACTGGAGGGTCACTTCGACATTGTCATGTGTGCAGACTGGTAGGTTCTCTCTCTCTCTCTCTCTCTCTCTCACACACACACACACACACACACACACACCGATTTATCTCAGTGTGGGAGTTCATTGCATTCATTTTCACTTTTGAGTGACAGTTCTTGCATGGCCCCCCACTAGCGCCTGGACCATTCCCTCCCCTACACACACACACACACACACACACACACACAAGCTCAGATGCCCGTCTGCCTCCATTTTACACCAAATTGCCTCGTTTTCATGCTTGGTGTCCCAGCAAATGGATGACTTAGGCAAATTGCAAATAATTGCGCCTTGACAAGGAAGGAGACACAGTAAGATGAAGAAAGAGTTGAGGGCGGGTGGAGGGAGGAGTGGAAATGGAGATGGAAATGGAGAGATGGAGCAACATAAACACAACAATTAGCCGACCGTTCATTGAAATGTAGATCTTGTGGCCAATTGAGAATAACATCTTTTTATCGCTCGATTGTACTCCGTGAGGTAAACTGCATCATGGTTTTCAGTGTACCCTTCTTACTGACATCCTTAGGAGAGTTTGCATTCCTCTGTGATTCCCTACGTTTCTTTGTCGCAAATCAACCAATGCGGGTGGATTGTGATACCTCGTTGATGCAAAGATACATGCACATCTGTAATGTTAAATAAAAGGGGTAGTCTGTAGAGCAGCCCCTAACATCAGAGGACAGATGGGTGCGCAGGTGTGGGAGAAGTTCACTTGGATCATGAAGAGGAACGACGTGTGAGAGTTCTGGCGGGAGAGAAGCACCGCTGACCTTTCCCGTTGTTGTGGGACCATGAAAGCAACACGTTGAGGAACCTTCCTGGTGGAGCTCAGTGAGGCAGTTCAAAAAACAGCTGCACCAGGGAGAGATGAGATGCACCCTGACAAGCTTCTAGCATGAACATCCGTTAACCATCACGCCTGCACAACGACACACACACACACACACACACACACACACACACACACACACACACACACACATGCATACAATGAGAAGATCGTCATGCTGTTGGTTGAAGAGAAAGTACTTGACAATTTTCTAGCTTCACAAACATAGAACAAATGTATCCTGTGCACAATGTGTGTGTGTCTATCTGCACAAGTGTGTGCATGTCTGCTAAGTGCAGCATTAGCAAACGCCGTTATCATTATTGTAATGTCACGGTCATTACAGGTAATAGTCAGGTACAGCACCCACAGAGAGAAAGAGAACCGGCAGCTAATAGAGGATGTTTTACAGCGCACTAGTGTGTGCGCACACGGGTGTGCGACCGTCACAAGCAGGCAGTGTGAGGACTGAGTAAATTGCATTTGAATCTCTTGGATATTGCTGGTTCTTCTGTGCCACGGCTCTGTGCCGTGGGTGTTCTGCGAGATGCTTTTTTATTTTTTCTCTCCGCGCGTGTGAGTGAGTGAGTGACAGTGTGATAATTGCCGTGGTGATGGTTGAAGAGTCACGGTTGACCGATTACTGGGCGCACGGTGGCGATGATCACCTGCGAAAAGGTCAACAACGCGGCTTCCACTCTCGATTAATTATAGCTCCCTCCGGCAGCAGCGGAAGCGCCGCAGAGAAGCGAGAGGAGCAGAGGGGGGCAAGGAAAGGAGAAGGGTTTGATGGAGCATTGTGTGCCAGCGGTCCTGGTATATCCTGCCTATCCTTGAAGGGTATTATGCAGAAGAAGAGCTGTTGAATCTTGAGTGGTACAGAAAGTCACCCACTTTCTGTAAATATTTTACTATTAAAATAGACTCCTTGTTCTTCCTGCTCTCTGCACTAACCCCTTGCAGATAGAGTTAAGACACATTAACCTCCCAAAGGAGTCATGGAGAATGCAGCAGTGCTGTGAAGGAGGCTACAACTAAGATAAGGACAGAAACAAGTGGACGATCAAGAGAATGAGGCTAAAACAGAAATCAAAGAAGTCACTCGTTTGACCTTCACTGTGCACGGTTTGACACCACAGGGCCGCTGTCACATTCATCTGCTGAAGGAGAGCAGTTTCACATCTTTTTTTTTTTGTCGGAACAGGATTTTGGGACATGAAATCCATTTTTAGAGCCAAACCTGATCAAGTATTCAACTGAAATCTGTGCTGTGGGAACTTGAAACCTCTTGAGCATAAACTCTGAGGGTGGGCATTTAGGGGAATCGTTGTGTTCAGCAGTGACCTTTGACACTAATACACCCCTGGACTATGATGTCAAATGAGGGTAAAGGGGTTGATTTCAAACTTAAACTAGTACATTGAGAATCCATTGCATTCATAATCCAAATGATCCAGAGAGACGGACAAACAGTAGCTGTGTGTGTGTGTGCGTGTGTGTGTGTGTGTGTGTGTGTGTGTGTGTGTGTGTGTGTGTGTGTGTGAGAGAGAGAGATTCCTGCAGTGGGCATGTGTGTGGCAGAGGATCCTTGGCTGTGTTGTTGGCATGTCTGCTTCCTCCAAAAGCTGTCCATGTGTGGGCTCTGAGATAACGCCCTGTTTATGTGTGTGTTAGTTTGTGCGTGTGTGCATTTGATCTATTTTATGCACTGTATCTATGTCATTTGCATAAATCCACATGAGAAATTTTGATGGACACCTTTTTTGTGGCTCTCTTCAGAGCCGACTGTCAGTTAGCCGGATGGAATATCACAGGAACAAACAGCAACACATCGCCGCTAAAACCGTCATGCGATGACTTGGCACAACAGCTCAGAAATGTGTAATGGCACTATTTGTGGCGACAATGAGACGATCAATCAAGAAACATATATATTTTTTAACATTTATGTTTAATTTATCATGCAAAAGCAGCCTTACCCGGTTCTGCTATAATTTTCTTTCATCTGCATTATTGATCAGAACGTCAATGCTGGAAGATCTTAAGTCAAGGTTAATCATTGGATTCTGTAAGTCGATATCACATTGCTAATACTAAGTAAGTCAATACATTGCTGTCAAACAAATGATTGCATGAAGTAGTTTAAATTAATATGAGTTCGGGTAAAGCTTGATTTTTTTTTTTTTTTCTGTAATGCAACACTAGTGTCAAAGAATTCACAGAAAACTGAAATCATGAAAGGGTTTTAACTTTCTGACTAATAGCTGCAAGGTTGACATTTAAAAGGAAGTTGGTTATAACGATTCAGAGCTGATTTTCATAAAACCCTGGCATGTTTTTGTCTGGACAACCGATTCCTGAAGTGAACTAACATATGATTAACGTTTGCCTAACCTAAAACACATTGTGAGGCAGTAATATTTAAAATGTCTGGTAATGCATGTATATAAAGAACCAAACAAAATGCATGAACCCTTAATTTCACACGGGAATAATAATAATGCTTAAAAGATGAAGTCATGTGTTTCCATGGGCTCGCCCCTGCAGCCTTGACAACATCCTGTATGGTCAAATATGCGTGTAAGCAGACAAATATAGCAGCGACGCCCTCGCCCTCACACTTTGACCTCCAGTCAATTTCGACTGGAATTCTGCAGGGGGGGGGGTCGGCGGGGGCAGCGTGAGACAATAGGTCTCTGACAGTCTGGGGCCATCAGAAGCCCCCTTAAAGGGGACTCCACTCCATGTGAGGTTGTTACACTGTGACTTCCAACCAACCCGTGAAATAGTCTCCGAGTTACTACATGCACCTGACGCAACCCGAAGAGATCCCCAAATGTCACTTCAAAATTCCAATCCGTCACCTCGGTGACAAATTAAAACTAGAAAGGTGCATTCAAGTGAAGACGTCTGCTACGCCTCTTACAACAGCCTCTGCAGCATTGTGTGATTGAATGAAAACAACCCCGAAAAACCCGTCCGGACCAAAAGTGTGTGATGTGTTTTTTAAACACAGTAACAAACTCGGCGTCATTCGGGTCCATGCAGAGATCTGCAGAGGCACCGCGTCCGGGAACACTTATTTAGACAGAACTCATCAGCTGTCACGTGGCCCGTTATTTACCCACATATAACACATCCATATCCATAAACATGGTCCAAAACAATAAAGGTGAGTAGTAATAATTAGATGGGCCGATGTGATCACATGATCAATAGGCCAATCGACATGTGACCTAATGTGACCGGGCTTTGTAGCAGCGGGGATTTTTCTCCTGATTATTCGTAAAGAATCTTTCACATTCCATTCTTTGTTGTCCTGCTAGTATTTGTCCCACGTCCTCTGTCTTCCCTAACGTTTGTTCCCCCTGTTAGATTCTTGCCCCGTGATAATAATCTTAAACTCTTCCTACACGACTAACGCGGATGTTTGTTTTCTATCATCACTGTGCGTAACGTTGAAGATCTTTAATGGCCGCGGCTGTTTTATCGTTCGCCCTCTTTGTGACACGATGTCCTCGCGTTGCCCTCGCTGTGCGTGTCCGTTCCAGCCGTTGCCTCCACCCAAGGTAGCGCACTTCCTATTTTTCCTCCCCACTCACTTTTCCCGTGAACTCATATCGGTGGCAAAATAAACCAAACACAAACCTCTCACCTTTCAACACAAATAAACTCCTGCGCCTCGGTCTAACCTTAGAAGAATAACAAACCTCCCGCAGACGTGCCCACATCCTGGTGCAGGCAGAGCTCGTGTTGGTAAGTCCCTTTCCTTTGTGTGACGCACACCTCTCGGTCCCCACTGGGATCGGAGTGGTTCCGCGCGAGGACGGGTCAGAGGCCGTGATTGGAAATCTACATCCAGATTGTCGCTCCGCTGGCCAGTTGGACGGATGTGCGGGATTATGTCAAATCTGCTCTGTATTGTTCCGTTTTTAGTCAAATTACTCCACTCTCATCTGTGATAATAGGTGCACACGCGCGCACGCCGCTCTACTTACTTGCATAATGGATTGGAATTTGTCCTTGTGGAAATCAAGACAGGTGTTACTTTGTTTATTTACTTTGGGCGATTTGGGCCGGTGTGTGTGTGTGTGTGTGTGTGTGTGTGTGTGTGTGTGTGTGTGTGTGTGTGTGTGTGTGTGTGTGTGTGTGTGTGTGTGTTCATCTACATACCAGCTAAAACTCTATTAGCTAAAATGAACGAAAAGTGAATTTTGTGCGAATAAGGAAATAACCTTATTAAGGTACCAAATATTAAATCTGGGTTTGAACAAGTTACAATGGGCTGATTATCACAATGTCCCCGACACATTAGTGAGCATATAAAAAGGATTTCACCACATATAACTCACAAAGCTCTGTTGTACACTGAAATTTAGTTTTGAAACTAACTAAATTAATCTTTGGTTATATTTTTCTTTGTTTAATTTCACATAAAAAGCAAACATGCAAGCACAAATGCTTAATTTCAAATGGACACAGTTACACATGTTAAAGTACAATGGAGCCAGTTAATTATTCATTCATTATTTACTTATTTTTCCTTTGTTTGTTGTTTTCCTACTTATATCTCCTTATTAACTTCAGAGTGCACACTCCAGGTATTAATTCCACAAATTCAAAGGAAAAGGTGCGCTACTTTGAAGTGCCCCATAACAGTTAGTATGTCTGCACGCACACTCGTGTGTGTGTGTGTGTGTGTTTGCTGCAGGCGATGCTATCTGCGCCCGTTGGATTTTCTGATGAGACTACAGACTGAGGCGAACACGTAGACAAAAAGAGGAAGAGCGTCTTACTCATGCAAATTGTTTTTCTCCTGTTGGTGGATTTATTTGTGAACCAAAGAAAACAAATAGCCTGCTGCTTTATCTGGAGCCGCTATCATGAGAATGCACGCTAACCTGTCTCTCCCTCTCCCTCCCAGTTTGTTTCTCGACCAGTACAGAGCCAGCCTGGTCGATGCTATAAGGAGATTACTGCGACCCAATGTAAGTGTGTGTGTGTGTGTGTGTGTGTTAACTATATATATATATATATATATATATATATATATATATATATATATATATATATATATATATATATATATATTGTTTATCCCCTTCCTCTAAATCCTGCCCCACTCTTCTCAATCATAATTAGGCCTGGCCCAAAACCCTATACACACTAATAGTCCGAGAGGATTAATATCATGTAACGCTTTAATGCTTATTATGAGCAACTTGAATGCATCGCTCTGATCTCCGTCTCTCTCTCCGCTGCCTTCCCTTAATCATGAATCTGAGGGAACTTCTCCCTTTTGGCCTCACGATAAGACCCCACGCTGTGACAGCCAAAGCAAATGGGGGGGAAAGAAAGCGAACGGCTGGAAGAGATCGGGTTGAGGTTTCCATTCATCTGAGGGAGGAGGGGCTGCGTTTTAAGTACGGAGGCCAGAATATCTGTTTATGAAAAAGAGGTAAAATGAGTCCTGGAGGAGGGAGGAGAGAGATGGGTGGGAAAAGGGGGGAATATGGACCGGGAGGAGTGAGGAGCAAATGATGCGATTCTCTTGTAGAAAATGATCTTAAACGTATTTGATGTTTTTTATAGAGAGCGAAACAGAAGCACGCCGGTTATAATGTCATTAAAGTGTCGGTTACAAACTGCAATTAGAAGGAGGTTTGATAAACACTGATGCACAGACTGTGCCGTGAACTCTTTCCATTAGACTAAAACCTGTGCACGTGAAGCATTAGATCTTCCAGAAGAGATGACCAGGGCTGTATGATTGATGTTCCGTGTGGGTGGTGGCACAGCGGCACGCGTCCCCTCAGCTGACATTTCACACGGGGACGTCTGCACAGCGGGGATGTGCGTCTCGGTTGCAGCGGAATGCAGAAGCTGCTGTTTTTCGAATGTCGGACGTGACATCTGGCCATTGTTGTACATCTGTGTGTTAAGTCTCCCTCCCTTTAATCCAGGAGAGATAATTCGGGGGCTAATACCATTTGAGTGTCGGCCGTCAGACCGCCGCCGCCACGACCAGCTCTTCCAAATGTTTAATAATTTGCTAAGCTGATTAAGCAATTAACAAAGCAATTTATTCTCCTATCTAATGGGACTAATTTGTTGTTTCCGACAAAGGTGGTCCATCCGGTGGGCTGGATCCCCTTAATCAGCTGATTATCTGGGAGGAGCTGTTTGTTTGCTATTTTGTTTGCTGTGTTCTCATACTGGGGGGATGCAACCGGATATACAGATGAAAGATCATCTGCTCGCTGTATGTGTGTATTTGGTTAATTTATTTAAAACACTAATAACATAATCAACATGAAATACAACTGAAAGCTGAGGGATTTCAAAGGCTCTTTGAACCCGCTGGTAATCCTCTCAGTATTTGCGGGGCGTCTGTGATGAATGTGCACATACAAACCTGTCTGTCTCGCATACACACGGACACTTGCAGACGCTGCGCGTGTGCAAAGCTAAACAACCAACGATGCGATGTGAGGAATGCGCGCTCGATGCCACTCACCCTGATCTTGCTTTCCACGCAGGGCATGGCGGTGGTGTTTGCCCCACTGCGGGGGGAAACGCTGAGACTGTTTTGTCAACTGGCCCAGCAGGCCGGACTCTGTGCCTCTCAACACCAGCAGTACGACGCTCAGGTCTGGGATGTTCACCTGAAGGTGAGAACGTAACGACTGCCCGCCAAACGACACGTTCCATGATGACTTCCTGCTCCCGGGTGTCTCCTTTCCTCGTGTTTAAACGAAGGCGGCAGCTGTGAGAAAATGTTTGGGGGAAGTTAAAGGGACTGTGCCGCTCCGCCAGTGATTCCCCTCTTTGCTCCTCCCTTGACTGGGAGCCCCCCACTTTTTCTTCTTCATCCGGGTCTTTTTTGCGACCTGTGGTTTGACGTTTCAGAGGCACTTTGTGAGACTCAACAGGGCCGAAAACCAGCGGCCTTAACGCAGCGCCGTGAGGAAGATGGGGAAGGAGTGAGGAAGGGAAGGAGGGAGGAGGGACAAAGAGAAGTGACAGAAAGCTCACAAGTAGGCAGTGTTTAAAGAAGTGGAGTCCAGCTGTTAACTCCATTACGTACACAGCTACAGAAGAACAGGACAGCGAGGAGTGGGCTAAATTGGTGCACACGCTCCCTTACTACTGGTGGGGCAATTGGACAGACCGGCCATTAAAGTGCCTGTTAAAGTGGCTGCAGCTCGGCATTGAAAAAGCTCACTCGTCTCCTTCTTGCTGGTGACTATTAGCCAAGCGCTGGATTTAAGGCTGAACTCACTTACACGTGTAAGATCGGAGGGACTTTGGACCGTTCAAAGGTCACATTTACAAGTTCAAGGTAGGCTGAGGTCAAGTTCCAATGGACACCACCAGCCGGTACTGTGAGGGTCGGGGGGGCGACCAATATGGATTTCTCATGTTAAAATAGAACTACTTTAAACACCTTTTGCTGGAATCGTAACGCCGACCAGGTTATACCTTTTTCTCGACATAACAATAAGAGATTGTTGAAATACCACAGCAGACGTCAATTGTTTTCTCTGCAATATACGCTCATAGAAACAATTAACTATTTTGTTCCGGTGAAGGCATTCAGTTTAGGTCAGGGAAAGATTGCGGTTTTGGAACAATATTGAAAATAAATCCACAATTCCAAGACTAGAAAAAAATGTTGAGAGAATCTCTCCGAAAAACACTAAAGATTTTTGTAAACTGAAGAATGGATGGATGGATGGAACACCTGTAAATTATATTCAACTGAAAAGTCTTATGGTGGTTTGGGCCTCAGGTGAAGTGGGAACTGCACAGGAAGTTGTTTCAGTAAAAGAACACAAAATGAAAAGAACAAAGGTAAAGAGGGAGAAATAAAAGTGAATGCTGCTGTTGTCGTAAATTTAAAAGAACCACAAATATGTTTGAAAAAGCTGCGGGGAGAATTGATTTGGCCTCAAGGCCACAGAACGCAGCTGTTACAGGATTCAACCGCTCGGGGAAGACGTGTCAGATGTGTTTTAGTGTTAAAAGCTGCTCAAGAACAGAATGTGAACAGTGAAATTCAGACTAAAATTCATGTGTGATACACAAAAAAAGGAACAACCCACTATGAAATTATTCTGGTCTTTCTTTCCTTTCTTCAGCATGCAAAGGGAATGTCAGACCATTCAGCTCATATGTGAAATACACACTTCCATCTGCCTGACACGCACACACACACACACACACACACACACACACACACACACACAGTGGGGTCAGGTGCAGCGTGTGGATATGAGGACAAGTTGAAGTGCCCCCCTCACATCTGAAGGTGATTAAGTCTCCTCTGCTTATCTTCTGATGAACACTCTGAACGAGCCCTGTGTGGCTTTCTGTGTGTGTGTGTGTGTGCCTGACTGACCATTCTACACACACACACACACACACACACACACACACACACACACACACACTGTGCAGTCAGCTAAGAAACGAGCTATATCACAATCCCGCACAGACCAGACATCCCTCAGAAAGCATATTGGCTAGACAACACTCACACACACACACACACACACCACACGATGATATCACAGTGAAACATACACTACCAACGTGCACACACACACACACACACGCACACACACACAAACTAGCAGCTGCTACTCATTTGCACTACAGATTAGCTTTCTTAAACTATATATCCTTTCAGTTGGGGAGCTTGAACACGGGGAAAATGCATATCAGAGCTTTGGATTTTCTTTTATTATTGCTGAATGAAATCAAAGTCGTCTCCGCTAAGAACAAGCGTAGGAGGCCGACTGTAATTGAGACGTCCACATGTTACATATTCAATAATATATATTGACAATATTCAATATACATTATCAAAATGATTCCTATTCTGCTGTGCAGTTACTGATATTTCTTGCCATCAGTTTAACATAACATGGCAAATGTATAGAAACTAGAGCGTAAAGCTATCAAGAATGTTCAATCAATCAATTGTGTTATGCTGTGTTATGTGGTGACGATGCTAACAGCATTAGCTACGGCGAGTGGAACGGTGCATGTGTGATCATTAGCATTGGGCGAATGGAATCCTCGACACCACTAAGACCTGCAAAATGCCAAGACTGACTTACAGCTCCTGGTGTCGAGCTCTGTAGCCGCCTCCGATCTAAACCCAAACCAAACGAGTGTGACTTTTACTTCTTTTCATGCTTCCGCCGCTAATCACGAGCTCCCCCCGCCGCGCACCGCCGCCGTTAAACGGACGCCAACCCGGTATCTGATTTTGTTTGTCATATGCTGCCTGATCTTAATGCGTCTTTATGTGGAGGGAAAACAGAAAGCGGGGAGTGTGTTTTCAAAAAAAAAAATGTTTAGCAGTTCTTTTAGAAAACATCTCCAGACCCCCGACTCGCTCCTCTCCAAACACGCACACGCTTTCACCCTCTGACACAGACGCACTGCGGGGACCGCAGGCAGGCCCGGTGTGCGTGTGCGTGAGGCGTGTGCCGGGACGGGCAGACAGGGCTGGCGCGTTATCCTCTTATCCCCACTGTTGTGGAATAGAGAGGCAAGCAGCTGGAGGGACTGCAAGCAGCCTGATAATGCCAGCGCTATTTCCTAACCCGCCATCTTAATCTTGTTACTCAAATGGTTGTGAAGAGCGAGTCATGAATTTTAATTTCTCTCGCACGCACACGCACACGGATGTGTGTTCACGTGTGCACATCCGCGTCTCCCTCACATGCATAAAGAGTATCCCCACTGTGTCGATGCACTCACACTCATTTCCCTGCCTCCTCCGTTCTGTTGCCCTCTTTCATTCTTTTCCTCTCGCCCCCCCCCCCTCAGCTGCCTGCCCGCTCCTCCCTCCCCCCATATCTTCCTCCACCCTTCTCCACTCTCCCTCCCTCGGGCTCCCCTCTATCTTCCCATTTCCTACATCACGACCCACTTCTCTATTTATTCAAGCGTGTCGGTTCTATCCCTTCTTCTACTCGTCTCTCCATCCACCCAATCCCTCATTCTCTGTTTCCTAATCCTGCCGAGAGAGACCCCCGACATCGGGTTCATCCATCCCTCCCTAGTCCCAAAGCCCCCGCCTCCCTCCCTCTCTCTGTCTCTCTGTCTCTTTCCACCTTGTTCACTTTCTCTCCGGTCCATACATGCAGGGCGAGAATAAGAGAGGAAATGAGAGCAGGAGACGGGGAGACGGGAGCTGTGGCAAAAGTGGCTGTACAATTAATGACTTGCACCTTGAAGAGGAAAAAAAAAAAAGAGAAACGATTGTTGGGTCTGGGGGGGAAGGAGGGGGGGGGGGTCGCGTTGAGAGCCGATTTAGCCAGCCACCCATGAAGCTGATTAGGTAGCCTGCGATCAGGAGGAACAGCTTTGCTTGTTAAACTTTTCACCTCTGCGAGCTCTTAGCCCTCGCCGCGTTAAAGCCCCCCCCCTCCCCTCCCCCCTCCCGCTCTAACCCTCCATCTATCGCTTACTGGCTCCTTCCGCCTGGTAGGATTTGAATGTGATCGCTAGCGGGTGACCTAATCAACGGCTGAGCACAGAGGGGAGGAAAGCGCTCTTCCATGGCCAGCCACCCTGGGGCCTTCTTCCCCCCCCCCCCCCTCCTCTGTCGCTCTTTCTCTCTCGGGGGGTCAGAGGTTCAACCACCGGCCGGTGCCTGGAGGGATGGCCACAGGAAGATAACGCACATGAAGGGTGTTTGGGGGGCGGGGGGGTGAGGTGGGGGTGACCGAGGGAAAGAGGGGTAAGGCAGACCTGAAGCATTGTTCGTATTCAGCAGGAAAAGGGAGAAGTTTGTTGGAGAAAAAAAAAGGCGCTATGGTGAGAGACGCTGGTGAGGTGTGTCAGGTAGCCCCCCTCACCCCCCCCTCCCCTCTCCAAGGTCCCATACTTGCTTTGGTTTAACACATGCACATTTGTATGGATAATAAATCAATAATTAAGCGAAGTTAATAAATGATTTACCTGGAAGGTTTTGCCGGTTGACGTAAACTTTCTCTGTGTATATATATATTATAAAATAATGTAACATATATTCAGTCGTAATTTAAATATTTGTTACTTCTACACCTGTTCTTTTCAAACGTGCTCCTGGGATGAAACTTGACTTTCTGGACGCCGCTGTCTGGTCGGCGCCCCGCTGTGTGGAGGCAGCGGTGTCATTGAAATGAATAGGGGATTGGGTTTAATCACGCAGCGCTAACGTCGGCCCGAGCACCCACCGCCCCCCTGTCCCCCTCCTCTATGCACCTGCACAGACACACACGCACTCATGACTGTGTGTAACTTTCTCCTCAAGGTGTCATAGTGTCTTAATAGAGCAGAATAAAGCGGGAGACCTCCTCGATTCAGCTCCACCTCTGAGCTGACTTTCCTTAGAGCGCTCAGCAGACGTCCATCTTTTAGTGACAAAGTGCATTGAAACAGGCGACTTTTGAGCACAACGACAGCAGTTGAGTTTGCGTAAGCAGGTTTGCGTCGGCTGCCCTGTCACTCGCACATCACTCACATGCTGCTGACCGGAGTTCATACGGGGCCTGTTTGTTGTGAAAAAACCTTTTCACACAGTTGTGCTCACTGCTGGTCTTAGCACACAAACACAAACACACAACTCACACAGGGCAGACCCACTGAACTCACTTTCGTAAGTTTCTGATAATTTGGCCAGACGCTGGGCGAGCTAATTAGCAAGTGCATACCCGAACTGCCAAGGCTGCTTAGAAGGGCACACGGGCATCCACCAAGCTGTGTGTGAGTGTGTGTGTGTGTGTGTGTGTGTGCGGACGTGAGCTTTAACAGTTATTTCATTAATTTACAGAACATTAATCAGCTATTTAATAAGGCATATATATATATAATAATCTTGACAGGTTTTCAAATTAAGAGAACAATGTAAATTAGATTTAATAAAAGCAATACCTTCGTAGCTTTTGGGTGACTGATTTGATTGGCTTAGTTAATGCTTCTCATGTTGTGTGTTTCTCAGATGCAGACCGAGGGAAAAGACGCATACGATGAGAACATCCACTATCCTCTCCTCATCACCTTGACCAAAGGACCTCAACCTGTCAGCCACACTCAGTAACCCCCCCCCCCCCCCCCCCACATAACTTTGGAAATTTGAACTGTACAGGGTCATGTAAACAATGTAAACCGGAATGAGCAGGGTCAAAATACAAAATACAGGGTTACCTCCGTCCCACGTGTTAAATCACACAAAACAAAACAAGTTGTGGACACATTTGAGGTATTTTTCATATTGATACAGGGACCACTGGGGGGATTCATTGGCAGATGCATTCGAGCGTGCATGTTTTGCACTTTTGATGTGTTGAAGGAGAAGCTCTTTTCCAAAGCTGTGGGGGTGCGTTGACTGTGGCCGAGTTAGTTCCAACCATCTGCTGTGTGCCAAATGACTCCAATAGTCACTCGGTCCGACAGCCCTTTAATCGGTCCGCCTGCAGTTGGTCAGCCGTCCAAGGACGTACCAATCCAAGTGCCAACCGCTCATCTGACCCACTGGTCAAATAACCTGTTGAAATAAGTCCATTCGGATGCCTGTCGTGGTAATTAAGTAGCCAGTGATCCAGACATCATTCCAGCCAACAAACCAGCCGCTTTTCAGTCAGCCGCACGGACATTTCCTCCGTCAGTCCTTCTGTAAGTGTCCGTTCACCCCCTTGAACCTGTCACTATGCCCCCATGCCACTGTGCTTCTGGCCTCAGCGTGGAGGCCAGCGCTAATTCATTAACCAGCGCAGACTGTCGGGCAGCTCACAGTTTCCTTTGTGTTTCCTTCATTTCTCTCCGTTCCCTTCTACCGCCGCTCTAATTTCTACTAATACAACTCATTCATCCCAGTCAGAGGTCAGTATTAAGAACTTCTTTTGTGCATTTCCTTCAATAGAACATTAACATATTAAGGCACGTTCAGACCAAAGAGCAATTGTTGCTGCCCTGGAGCTGCAGTTAAGCACAGTACGCCCGAGCGACGCATTTCACACAGCTCTGTTGGTAACACAATTGGTATGAATTGTACTTCAGACCCTAAAGTTCCCACCGACATCTACTCAAACTACTGCTTTACTGGTAGCTGGTTTAATTTGTTTTAAAGTGCCACTGATCCGCGGTAATGGCCGAGTAGGTCTGGTCAACTCGAGCTCAATCTCTTTTTGCGCACGTTTCGCTCTTAAAACAATCAGACCCAATGGCAGCTGCTACACTCTCTTAATCCAAACCCTCCTTGGGGAAGTGCGGGTGTGTCCGAAGAGAGAGAGAGAGAGAGAGACTCCTTCTTCTCACATGTGTCGACTACTGACCCCAATGCTTTGGAACAGGGAGATGCACGAAGTGCTGCACACAGCAGGATTTCCTCCATTTTCTCTTCTTGCTGTTTCGTGTAATACAGACATATCAACGGCCTCTTACCCCTTACGTCCACTTGTTTCAGACAATCTGCTGCCAGTCCAGCTGGTGTGCCAATGTCCACTGGCTCCGTGAGCACATTATCAAAGTCTATCAAGGGCTACATTCACTTTTGAATGTGCGCAAAGTCTATATTGATATTTAATGCTGTGTTTATTTGCTATTGATTGAGTTTTTGTGTGAACTGTATTTTACTTGTTTGTATACGTCACTTCTCCGATTACGCCTTTGAAGCAGGAGAGGAAAAGCTACGGTTTTCTTGCTGCTATCAAAGTCCCGTTAGAAGGTACAGTGTCCATGGCTAACAGAAAATGTGTCAACAACATTTAAAATCATTGGAAAAAGATACTGCTTGAACATGACACATGAATTTATATTGATAGACAATGTTAAAAACCCTCATTTTTCAAAGTTGCACATGTTCACACAACCTCGAGAGCAAAAAACATTCGCACATTTCAGACCAATTGCTTCTTCCATTATATGTCTGCTGTATTCGTCGTTCTACTCAGGTCTTTTTCCATGCATTCAGCTCTTTTCTGTTTCCTGTGGCATTAAAGAAACGCCACTCAAGCCTAAAATTGTACCTATCACTAGTAAAGTGTCTCCATATTTCACTGTGATCCGCTGTTTTGTACAGGAGCAAAGAAGCTATGCAGTATCTTCCAGTTATTTGCATCTCTTTTGTTGGAAAAACAATCCACCTTTACAAATGAGAGGTATTCCCTGTGTGTAACTACTCATAAAAGTAAATTAAGCCAGTTTTTATCAGTGGTCTCATGAAATCAAAAAAAATGTCCCCATTGCTAATGTTTTAATTACATTTTTATCTACGATGCAGTCTGTTGTATACCTTTGATATCTGCGGGGTTAAGGCATAAATACCATCCCGACTGTGAATGTGTACAGTGACCTCATCGCTGTCCGGTGCGACGTCACCACCACTGGCAGCGATGTCATCCGCTCCGCTGCCTCCGCTGGATCCAGAGACGGTCGTGTGCCCGGTGATGAGAATTTACCTTCGGCAAAAAAACACGCAGGGAGGCTCTATTGCAACACATCTATGTCACTGTGTCGTTTGGACTGTCGGACATAATTCTTTGAATTGGTTGTCGTTCGCAGGCCGTGTCCACACTAATCCAGATTGATTTAAAGTTGGATGTGAATGAAGTTCAAGCGGCTCTTTGTGGCACACTGAACACTTTCGAAACCCGAATGTACAATTGTTGTGTGGTTTGTACTGTTTTGAGGTTTGACACAAGAAACACAAACTGTATTTACTTCCGTGAAATGTTATAATTTACCGCCTTTAGTGTGGACATGACCTCATAGAGTGAGTTTTTCTGTTCGGTGTATATAAATTGATCTCTGCTTCACTAGTTAATGGGTAATGAATGTTACACTTTGAAGTCAAAGGGTTGTGATTGAATACAAATAAATAGATTTTCTTCAAGACATTTGGGACTATGAACTTTTTTCTTTTTGAATTGATAAAAATGGACAATATTATTTTATTCATCAATATTTTACAGAAGAAATATTCAAGTAAATTAATTTAAAACCTCACTATCAAAATCCAAACACATTGTCACCTTCCAGATGGTTGTAGATTTTCTGTAATGGTTTATATAATATAATAAATCATGTTGAACTGGTTGACAAAGCTAATGTATAAAAAGTGTGTTTTATTATTAACAATCCAGCGTTAAACGTTCACAGATGTAATAAAGTTTGCTTTGGGGTCCAGATTGACTGTGGCCGGTGTTTCAAACACAATGGCCTCCTGCAGGCTAAGCTGATGCCAGACAAGGTGACACACACACACACACACACACACACACACACACACACACACACACACACACACACACATATCAAGCCCAGTCAACAGTCTAACCCTCCACAGGAAGAAAAGAGAGAGGGATAAAGGAGGAAGGGAAGGCAGTACACAGCAGCTAATCCTGCAGGCTCACTCTTCTGTTTATCGGTCAGAAGGAGGGAGGCCGCGGCGGCCAAAGGGAGGGGCCAGCGAGGCCTCCTGATCTGTCTTTTGATATTTTAAAGAAGTCTGTTCTCTCCTCCCCGACACTCTGCTGGAGGGACAGTGAGAAGAGATAGAGAAAGCTGCAGAGAGAGAGAGAGAGAGAGAGAGTGGGGGTGAAAAAGACAACCGGGCAAAGGACGAGGAAGAGAAGTAAGAAATTGGACCAGAAACACTGAATGCCTGGAAGGAAAAGAAAAGTGGAAATGAGGCAAAACTAGATCGAAACAACAGGGGGAAAAAAAAAAGCTTCAGCCGTGAAAGGAAAGGAAAGCTGACCGAGGGACTGAGATTGACTGGCGGAGTGAGTGATCGAACGGAGAAAAAGAGAGGGACAGAGTGCTCCAGGCTCGACACAAGGGCCCCATTAACTTGACCACTTGCCCTTTGCACACAAAGGCGAGGCCGGCCCACTGCCCCTCCCACCCAATTATCCACGATTAGGCTCAGTGCACTGTGTCAAGATGGAGAGGGGAGAAAAAGAGTAGCGGGGGAGAAAGGCGAGGACAGGGAGGAGAAAAGAAGGCGACAGAGGGACTCTGGTGGGGAAAAAAAAGAGAGTGAAGAATGGCAGCAAGTGATGAAAGGCAACAAAACGATAAACAACACGGAAGAGGCTCAAACATTTGATGTAGCGGCCGCCATGCAGATGACTGTTCTGTGAGCGATTACACCGGCAGGAAAAACTTCCACTACTCCATTCATTTATCTGTGTTTGCGTGTGTTTCCTATTCACAGCGACATTTCATAGACGTGTCGTCAAATAGGTGCCTCAATTTGCTGTTTTAAATTTTTTTAAATTTTTTAGATCAAACATTTTTGTTGTAAAAGTTGCTCGCACTTTCTCTATTGTCTCCGTAAATTTTAGGCCAACAGAATAAGTTGGAATCGCAACAATGACATTGATTTTGATATGTTGAACATTTAAGAAAACCCTTTTTTGCTCAGTTTTTGGTCGCTGCCACAGGTTGAAGGGCCCTACAGCCAAAAAGATTAGCTAAAATTTCAATAAAAGCTTAATGTATCTGAATTGGGCTGCAGAGTCTGGTGATATTGTCGCCATGAGCGACCCCTTTCACATTAAAAACAGTCATTTGAGCCATTGTTAATATGGAGATACAGCGTGTAAAAAAATGTGTCATCTCAAAAAAATCTTTAATCTTTTGACGTGGTGACTCCCCTTTACTCCAAACACACACAAATCAAACACAATCTCTCAATATCCTGCGTCTGCATCGTACCTGTGCACATCACACAGACGCACAAATTGTCTTCACCACACTCTCACCGTGGGCTCAGCTGCGGTGCGGCCATGTTGTGTCATGTTGTGCTCTGTTGATACTCTGCCGCCAGCTAGCTGGCATCCCCAGGGCCGTGGGCTGGTTTCCACTGCAGCACGGCACGCCACCACTGACAGCAAAGACACACACACACACACACTGCACAGTATACCAACAGTCTTCCTTCCCTTTGACTGGCGTTTATTTGAACCACTGATATTTTGGTTCATCAATTCCTGCAGAAAAGGTCTGAAATACAAGGTTAGATAAAGAGGTATTTCAGTTCATCTTGGCCAAATGGATTTTTCATCCTTTGTATTTTGTTTTTATTTATTTCCGTTAACACAACGCC